TTTTTTACAGATCGACAACACCTGACTATATGTCACTTGAGATAAAAACAGAAGCTCAAAATGGTGTAATCCTATGGCAAGGAGAGGTAAATTAGAGTGTTGTAATGAGTTCGGCCAACAGAGATTGTTTATAACTCATGCCTGATAATCCGGTGACCAGAAAAGACATCCATCTACTTTGCCACATTCAGTTCTGAGCTTTTTCTTAGTTATTAAGAGATTGTAAGAACAAAACCTTTTTCTAAAACACTTCCGTATCTCTTTGCCAACACGTTCGTGTATATTTCACACACACATGCCCCTTGCATTACGAACGGTTCCCTTGATCTGTAAGGCATCAAGCAACAAATAGATACCTCATGTTCACACCTGCATGGATCAATTCGGTGTCCCTATGAAAAATTTTTCTTCTTGCTCCTTCCAGAGAAGAGACCACTTTGCAATCGGATTAAGGGACGGATTTCTGGAGTTCAGGTAATTATTTTAGGACTCCTGACGGCCCAGCATCTGGTCCCTTTCTAAACTAAGGTATTCTTTGCTTTCAGAGTAAAAACACCCATACATGTCCTTGACCACCAAAAATGCCAAAAGTTAGGGGTCGCTGATGGGAGCTGATCGCATATGAGACTGACGCATCTGAATGTCACTAAAATTGCCTCTGAAATATGTAATACACTAAAAAAACATGAATAATATACACGTATTAAAAGAATATATTTCGCTACATCAATGTACTGAACATCCGGGGGCGATAAAATAATAGGGAGTTTAAGCAAAAGCGTTTTTGAGTGACGCACGTGAACCGAGGCTAAAAAATTGTATTGCTTTGCGTCTTTTTTCTCATATTGATGATTTTGCGGAGAATTTGAGCAAAAACAATGCTTAAAAGTAGTTAACTATGAAATTAAGTGAAACACATCCTCGGTTAAATTTATCACACATTAATCCTTGATCACTGATCTACATAAAAAAAATAAGGGAACGGGCCCCCGGGCCCCTCCCCGGATCCGCCACTGCAAATAACCAGGAACTAAATATATCGGCCCCTACCCTGATAATACTTGAACATCATGTTAACAAATCAGTTACGTCTTTCGTAGATTTGAACTCGGCTCTGGGCCCGCTGTACTACAATCCCTGTCCCCAGTCAACGACAGCCAATGGCACTCCATCAAGGTTTACAGGTAACAAACTTTTTCAACTACAATCTTGAAATAATAGTTCTTATATCTCCGTATTCTAGATTCGTTACATTTGAGGAACAAGGAAGGGCCCGAGAATAAACCCCGCGACTGTCAACCATATATGAAAAAAAAATTAATCAATTATTGATTTCGGCTTCTATATAATATGAAGCAGCACTGACTACGTGACGTCATCCCTCCGATATTTTAATTATTAGACTAGTGACGTTTGTCGTTTTAATTTTGTAGGAGTTTCAGTGAGGGTTCCCTTAAAGTTGATACTCACGATCACGTAAATGGCACCTCGGCAGAGGGAAGCAAAGGGCTGAATATTAACCAAGGTTATAACATATTTATGGGTAAGTGCATTGTATATCCTTATCTTATCAGTCATCCCTACGATCAGAATGGGCAGTCCGAAATATCTGGATTTCATATATTTGAACTGCGGGAAGAGGAAACAAATGCAGACAGGATCATCAATACACAACTCAGTTGCAAAAAAAATAGGCCTGAATGCCCGTATTCGACCCCTGACCTCTGCTATACCTTTGAAGTGCTCTTACCTATTAAGCTAGCAAGCCGACTGGATGTGGATGGTCCGTAAGTATTATCTAAAAGTCTACCTCCTTTATCAGTGTTCAGGATGTTTAATAATGTAGAAGATTTTTTTTTCATTTGAACAGGAGATAATTCGAACTATAGCCTATATTATTTTAATGTTTTTTTCCTCTTATTTTCAATAGGAGGGGGTGAAAATATCGCAAAAATGACACATGGAAAGTTTAATACTGGTTTTAGGGGTTGTATAAAGAATATATTTTTTAAGGACAGAGGCATGGACCTCCAGGGTGACGCTATTCTCGGCTGGAATGTCCTACCGTGCGACAGCGATGAGGCAGAGCCATGAAAAGGCATTCTGGAGAAACTGGTTGCCGTGCGAAAGGAGCATTAAGCTCCAGAGGCCACACAGCTCTCAACCAAACAATCGTTTATCGTACTTTCACATTGGAATACTTAATAAATAGCGCGTTTTTGTTGCGTGGTTACACTTTAAATTAAAGTTAAGCAACTGTTGACGGTAAGGAAGAGAAGAGAATTGTGGAACTGTACGAACAAGAGTATTAAAAAAGAGTTAGTTCTTCGCAAAAAAGTAGAGAATAACCTGGACAGTTATTGTCCTTTTTTACCAAACGAAATCATCCAGATAACCAGTCTGGCTTTGGATCTGATCTGTTGAAATCAGCCACTGTTGTTTTCCTCTAAGCTTTGACTGTTTAAAGAGTGTTTCTTGATATCAAATACTGTTGTCCTAAAATGCATCTGGTTATACTGGACCTGCGCTTAAACCTTCCATTTTTAGAGTTAATCGAGTCTATGGACAAAAACAGAAACTGTTTCTGCTTCAGCACACCCTCATGTACATGTAGCATTTATTAACAATTTTCACTGATTTCATGTATAGGGACGTCTGGTGAGTTCATGATTTAAAGGTAGATAACGTCTGTCTCCAAACACCGAGGGCAAAAAAATATTACCTGCCATTTTAGAGCTCTGTTTTAGACTGTACAAAGATAAAATAGGGTTAACGTTAGCTTAGGGGAGGGGTAGGTGGGCAGTTTCCCAGAAACGTATAATGATCCACATAGGGATTTTCGCTTTTGATATTTATATTGGCTCTTTGTTGTCAAAAATTTATTTTACCTCAGTTGTTTATTATATTTACACCTTTTGTACATATATGTTTTTTCGTCTTTTTTTCTTGGCATATATGTGTAAGTTTGACAAAAAAAGAAACGTCGCCTTTCAAGAACTTGTTGAAGATAACTTTAGTTAATTAGCTAGTAAGTTAATATATCGAAAAAAATAAAACTGGCAAAACTAGTTGTGTGGCATAGTGTTACTTTCCTACAACGTTATAATTATGGTACGTTTACCAACGAGACGTGTCACAACAATGTTATCACTTCCACTCGCTACTTTAGAAATGCGAAAGGAACTAGGATCAAAATATAACCCGCAGCTGAGATTTTATGGGTGTTGTAATGCCTACAAAATTGTGATGGTTGATTTGAAAAAAAAAAAAAAAAACAAACCTACAAAAAAAAATACTACACCTTCGTAACCGTTTCTTTAGTGTACCGGTAGCGAAATGCAAGCCACGGAATACACGAAAATTGCTCATATTTACAGCTTTATTCGCTCAAATCACCAAGAGATAATGTGCTGAATGTCTTTCTTTCTTTGAAATAAGCACTGCAAACTGAAATGAAAGGAAATTCAAACCCCGCAAATAAGGACACGGAGGGGGCCTTAGAAAGTGTCCGTATTAAAGGGGTGTCCCAATTAAGTGGATGTTCATAAAACAAGATTTGAATGTACCTTGAAAAATCCCCATCAGTCTTGGAGCAGAAAAGAGAACCAAATACAAACTCAACTAACATTTCGCTCCTGAATAGTAACGCATGCGCATACTAACTGTTGACGTACACATAGACGGACTGGTGAGGTTTGAAACATTTGGGGAGACTAAGGGAGTGTTCACACTTGGTGCATGGGTACAACGCCCGAGTGCGGTACTTGTTGGACACTAATGTGAACACACGCTTTTATCAAGTATCCAAGTCCGAATTAATGCGTGTGGTCGGTGCCCGAGGACAAGGTCGAGACCTTATACATTGGCAGTAAAAAAGGATTTGGTCACCTGCTGGGTGTACACCGTTTTTGTTTGTTCTGGGATAGTCTACTGCTATCTACTCGCTGCTAAGCTCGCGTTTCAAAATGGCGTCTCACAGGGCAAAAAGGAGTAAATAATGTACACAGTTTACATTTTTGGTATACTCAAGGTGTGAACAAAACACCTTTTTTTTTTCACTACCCAGGCACTAGTTCTCAGGCACCAAGTGTGGACATTCCCTAAATTTCCATCAGCAGAAATTGATTGGCACGGTCAAACTGTGGGACAAATTTGCTCCTGTTCAGTTTTACGGTTACCTGGAAAATGAACTTTATTCAATTCTTTGGTATACCCTGTCAGCGTTGTTGTTCCTAACTTTTTCTCGTAGGTTGAATTTTAACATGATTCTAGTTGGCGACACGAACATTATCGTATAAGAAAAGGCTTTTTTTCTGGAGAAGGGAGGGTGGCTACATTTGAAGAAGAATATTTTACCTAATATCATAGGTGACGAATTACTCCTTAATTTTGGCGCGAAATTTCAGCGTTAATTTGTAATTTCACATGTGAAATTACAAAATTGCCATGGCAACCTTCCGTACGTCTCAGTGTCAAGATGGCGACGAAGTTGTAAAATGTCATGAATGAAGATGTCAGGGCACAAAAAGACGCTTTAGAAAACCTGAACACACGAAAGAGCACATCAAGAAGGATTCTAACAGGTATTTTGTCGAAAAACTCTGAACTTAAGCCAAATTTAAGCTCTAAACGTTCGAGAGAGTGCAGGAGTTCTCGATCGATGCGATCCAGGATAAACATGTCAAAAATCCAAGATTGCTAACGTAATTCGTCACCCATGATATTAATAGGTAATCAAATGGTATACAAGTGAAATTAGGGAATAATTTCACGCGCGTTTTTTCCAAATCCTAATAATTTCCCTCACCTAAAACAAAACGCGCGTGAAATTATTCCCTAATTTCACTCGCCACCATTTGATTGCACATACTTAAAAACTGAAATTTTGAAACCAATTAATCTGAACATGCGTTTGAGACGGAAGATTTTCGTATGATAGCTCAAGAGATTTTTTCAAAGACAGAGCTACTCAACCGTTAAAGCAGATTAAAGAACACAAATTACTGAGCTTTAAGGTAAAATTTTGAAGTGACCTACTCAAAAAATTGGATTAATAAGGGTTGATATTAAAAAAAAAGGTAAATCGCAAACTGGTACAGTCCCACACTTTAATTAAGCTGAACATGAGCACAAGATTACCTATGTTAATACGGGTTCCATCTAAAGTTATAATTCCATCCATTGCAATCAATAGCTCTTTTTCTGAGTTATTGAAGCAGGATGTTTCTAGACGCTAACATTTCAAATGAAGTAGAAAGAGAACTTCCCTAATTCCATTAAAAGAGAAATTTTTCAGCTAACTTCAATATTTAAACCAAACAAATCGATAAGTAAAAAGCATGTCAGTATTTTAATTTTTGGTGACTTTGACAAAAACACACTGAGAACACACAAAATGGCTTTGTCATCATGTTCGTTTCCAAATTATAATGCCTCCTTATTTGACGTTTTAAGCAACCATCGGTTACTCTTGAGAATTGCCGTAATCCCAACAAATTGAAAAGGGCCGGTATTTAGACATTTGGGCGTGATATAATTATATCTTTTAAGAAAAGGGGTACTTAGCAATTATTTCAGGAAAGAAAACCAAAACGGTAAGTATTTTAACATTTTGTTTCCAAGGAACTGGTATTTCGTTTAACTAATACGCATTAACAGCGTTCAAGTTTATGTAAATTTAATTCTCTACCCTCAAGTAACTTCTTCTAAGCTTCCCTCTGAATAATTTTTGGAAAAGTCGTAAAATAAACTAAATAAAACGCCAATCCATTTTTTTAGAAATGCTGGGCCATTCTGTTTATTCTGACAGCTGAGCAAATGTACGTGAGCGGGGAGGGGCACTCAACAACGTCTTAGAGGTACGTTCCACCCTATGGTCCAATCCCCTATATTTTCAATATAATTATACCTTTTTTTACAGAAAAGGTACTCTTTGGTACCCCTTTTACATACCTAGGTTAGAACTTTTGTATCTTTGTTGTCTTTCAAATATATATCAATCACCTAACAAAATGTTTTCTCCACTTTTAAGAGCCAGAAAATGTAGATGTTAGCCCTTTTGAGTCTTTTTATAGACCGGAATGACTGATTTTCCTACCCTTCCATAATACGTGAAGCCAGAAAGAGGTTCTTCTATCGGGCGAAGCCTCCCCGTAAAGGCCATTGTATGAAGTACCCACGGGAATACCACCTGCTCTTTCTAAGTAATATCACCTCCTCTACATTAAAAGAAAGCTCATTGTGTTCTGTCTTCAGGTTAATGTTCAGAGTTAATGTTAATATTCAACATGAAGACTTTTGCTCGCGTTATCATCATCGTGTTTTTGATAACTACAGTCAGTTCAACCTTCAGAGGTAAGGTTCTAACACATTGTATTCCTTTGCTGACTATTCTAAATACTTGGTTTTGCAGGGTCATAGGTTTCGTCTTCGGAGAACTCCCATTAGAAAGAGACGGGGGTGATTTTTTCAGAAAATTAGAAAGAGAGTGAAAAATCTCTCATTCTCCTTCGATCCCCTGAGAGAGACCCGTCTGAGCCTAAAGGAGAGCGTACTCGAACACAATATGACGACGTTTGTTTCCTTTCAGTATACTTACGCACAACCCTAAGAAATACCTTCACTGGCAAAAATATACGCGTTCGACCCCCCGTTTCCTCAAAAAGATCTGCAACTTTTAGCTCTAAGCGAGGCGGCGTCATTTTCAAATGGGAGACCATAGGGGCTTTTTGTTTATGTTTTCAATGAGAAATCATACTAGATCATGTACCTACATAAATTTTTTTAGTAATCTCGTAAGGGCCATGTTTATCCTACAAAGAACAAATTTTGTGTCCACAAAGAATATTGACAACTGTGTTCTTTTGTTTCTGTATGTTTTGCCGATAGATGACCAAGCTGAAGTCAGAAGAAATGCAGATATACAAGTACCAGAAGGATGTCATTGGCCTTCTCATTAATTCAATGTATGATGGAGGAGAAGAAAAACAGATCACTTGATTATTATGATCTTGTAGGCATATTTTACGAACTTGCCTGTACATAGAGACCAAAACCTGATGGGCTTGTAATTTTGAGAAATCAAAATCAAACACTTTTTCAATTCGAATACCAGCAGCTGTCTTTATCAGTGTTATTGTTTATCCTCCCACTTTGCAATTCATTACTATTTCATTTTTCCTGAAAAATGCAAGAGGGTACTGTACTTTTTACAATTACTTGGCTAAACGTCTAAGTAAAGTACATGTAAGTAACAACAGGTCAAACACTGACTATAATCCTCAGGATATTCCTTTGAACTAATGACGATTCCATTGCTAGCCCTTCTTCAGAGCACAGGTGCCAGCGGGTTAAATTTGATAAGGGCCCGTCTGCGGAGAGGAAAGTCATGGCTCAATCCGCGGCCGCATAAACTCTCAAACTCTTACGATAGCTGAGGAGAATGTTCGGCTGTTGTTCTGACATCTGCAAATGATGATGTCTTCCCTAAAAGGGAACTAAAACCGTCATCCCCTCCTCACAGCTCGTTCACTTTTTGGGTTTTTTTCTTGGGAGTGTGATCCACACTGCTGTTCGTTGAAAGTGAGAGAAGTAAATTCTTGGACGAGTTCGTGATTCCGAAACCAGTAAAATAAACCAGGTCCTTTCCATTGCAAAATGTAGAGCAGGATGTTTGTGATATTGAACATTCAGTGACATTTATATACATTTTTTTGCTTTTCAGAAACTATCGCCTCGAGATTGCTCGAAAGAATATACAGGGGTTTATTCCATTAGGTCCTCAAAATGATGTAAATCGGTTGTATCGAATAAAAACCTAACAACAAATGCTCTAGTTTGTTCTGTACGTATTGACTGTACTAGATATGATTTGGCTGTGCATTTCAGCTGTGAAGTAACTCACGACAATATATTGAATTAAAAGGCAACTATAGCACTGTCTTGAACTCATATTGTTTCCTTACCAATGCAATTTTCACGATCCAATCTCACGAGGGAGAGTTTTAGCAGAGAAGCTGTCAATCCGTGCGGAGAATGGGCAGGTGACACTTTAAAAACCCAAATCGGCGGTTTCTTCCAGAATGGCGGTTTTGCCACCAAAGCTCTCACTCGTACAAAAATGGTAATGGTTGAGTTGAGAGATTCCCAGCATGCTTTGTAAGCCTTATCCTTTTCCCACCTGGATAGGATTATCAGGTTTAACTGTTGTCTCCTCAGGAATGGAGTATTAAGGTAAGGTTAAGAAAAAAAGCCCTCATAATTTTTTTTTTTTTTACAACGGGTGTAAGCGAAGTGAGCCAGATTAATGGAAATAACTATTGACATCGCTCATGGATCTGCCCGTTTGAGCTGTCATGAATTGAAAAGCAAATTGGCAATTTATCTATTTTTTGAACTAGCAAAGACTAAAAGCTGGAGGCGGTCAGGTTCGGTATTTAGAAGTGTGACCCAGGGGTTAAATTTGGCACTACTGAAAAGCAAAGCCAGTCAGTGGTGCGAGCGGGAATTGATCGAACCCATACATCCAGTACCGTACAAATCCAGCGCGCTAACCACTCGAACACCCTGCCTGCAATAGAAGCAGTTAAATCAGTGGGAGAACAGTAAAACATCTGCGCCACACGTTCTCTTTACAGTTTTCTCTTCCACTTTGCCAAAGAAACTATTGATAGATTCAATAAGACTTTCAACCAAGTTCCCTTTACGAACTTAAAAAAAAAACATACAACTGCTTCATCTAATAAGTAAGGCAGAGAAAGGAAGCATTTTGATTGAATAATTAAAATAAATGAAATATATACTTGTCTCCGATGGTTCTTAACTAAAACAAAAGGTATAATATTCTAGTTCAAGGATGAATATTCTGTTTTTATGTTTTAATCTTGTTCCTTTACCTCGGAACCAAATTATGAGTTTAATGGATCGAACTGAGGCTTTACAAGAGAAAAACTAAAACGATGCAAAGCACGAGTAACTGAATCCTCCTCACTTTACTCTAATACATTAAAATTCTTTATTTGCTCTTCAAAGCTTTGTCGTCAAGGTATATGTTTCACAATTTCTTCTTTGTTTTCAGAATGAACATAAATTTTTAGAATTTATAATACTTTTGTGGTGGGTTCGACTCATTAAATTGTCAGATCATAGCAACTGTTACTTACATGAATTAAACATTGAAGATAAGTGTCAGTTCCAGATTATTGATACGCACTCGTTGTTTTTGTATCAGAAATCTTACTCGTTCGCTGCGCTCACTCGTTCGATTTCTGATACGTCAACAACTCGTGCGTAAATACCGTACGCCAGCACTTTCCATGAAGTATTCTCTATATCTTATCAGTCATCCCTACGATCAGAATGGGCAGTCCGTAATATTGGGATTTCATATATTTGAACTGCGGGAAGAAGAAACAAATGCGGACAAGATCATCAATACACAACTTAGTTGTAAAAAGAAAGCCTGAATGCCAGTATTCGACCCCTGACCTCTACGATACCGGTGCAGTGCTCTTACCTATTAAGCTAGCAAGCAGACTGGGTGTGAATGGTCCTTTAGTATTATCCAAAAGTCTACCTCCTTTATCAGTGTTCAGGATGTTTAATAATGTGGAATTTTTTTTTTTCATATGAACAGGAGATAATTCGAACTATAGCCTATATTATCTTAATGTTTTTTCTCCTCTTATTTCCAATAGGAGGGGGTGAAAATATCGCAAAAATGACACATGGAAAGTTTGATACTGGTTTTAGGGGCTGTATAAAGAATACATTTTTCAAGGACGGAGACATGGACCTCCAGGGTGACGCTATTCACGGCTGGAATGTCCTACCGTGCGACAGCGATGAGGCAGAGCCATGAAAAGGCATTCTGGAGAAACTGGTTGCCGTGCGAAAGGGGCATTAAGCTCCAGAGGCCACACAGCTCTTAACCAAACAATCGTTTATCGTACTTTCACATTGGAATACTTAATAAATAGAGCGTTTTTGTTGCGCGGTTACACTTTAAATTAAAGTTAAGCAACTGTTGACGGTAAGGAAGAGAAGAGAAATGTGGAACTGTACGAACAAGAGTATTAAAAAAGAGTTAGTTCTTCGCAAAAAAGTAGAGAATAGCCTGGACAGTTATTGTCCTTTTTTACCAAACGAAATCATCCAGATAACTAGTCTGGCTTTGGATCTGATCTGTTGAAATCAGCCACTGTTGTTTTCCTCTAAGCTTTGACTGTTTAAAGAGTGTTTCTTGATATCAAATACTGTTGTCCTAAAATGCATCTGGTTATACTGGACCTGCGCTTAAACCTTCCATTTTTAGAGTTAATCGAGTCTATGGACAAAAACAGAAACTGTTTCTGCTTCAGCACACCCTCATGCACATATAGCATTTATTAACAATTTTCACTGATTTCATGTATAGGGACGTCTGGTGAGTTCATGATTTAAAGGTAGATAACGTCTGTCTCCAAACACCGAGGGCAAAAAAATATTACCTGCCATTTTAGAGCTCTGTTTTAGACTGTACAAAGATAAAATAGGGTTAACGTTAGCTTAGGGGAGGGGTAGGTGGGCAGTTTCCCAGAAACGTATAATGATCCACATAGGGATTTTCGCTTTTGATATTTATATTGGCTCTTTGTTGTCAAAAATTTATTTTACCTCAGTTGTTTATTATATTTACACCTTTTGTACATATATGTTTTTTCGTCTTTTTTTCTTCGCATATATGTGTAAGTTTGACAAAGAAAGAAACGTCGCCTTTCAAGAACTTGTTGAAGATAACTTTAGTTAATTAGCTAGTAAGTTAATATATCGAAAAAAATAAAACTGGCAAAACTAGTTGTGTGGCATAGTGTTACTTTCCTACAACGTTATAATTATGGTACGTTTACCAACGAGACGTGTCACAACAATGTTATCACTTCCACTCGCTACTTTAGAAATGCGAAAGGAACTAGGATCAAAATATAACCCGCAGCTGAGATTTTATGGGTGTTGTAATGCCTACAAAATTGTGATGGTTGATTTGAAAAAAAAAAAAAAAAACAAACCTACAAAAAAAAATACTACACCTTCGTAACCGTTTCTTTAGTGTACCGGTAGCGAAATGCAAGCCACGGAATACACGAAAATTGCTCATATTTACAGCTTTATTCGCTCAAATCACCAAGAGATAATGTGCTGAATGTCTTTCTTTCTTTGAAATAAGCACTGCAAACTGAAATGAAAGGAAATTCAAACCCCGCAAATAAGGACACGGAGGGGGCCTTAGAAAGTGTCCGTATTAAAGGGGTGTCCCAATTAAGTGGATGTTCATAAAACAAGATTTGAATGTACCTTGAAAAATCCCCATCAGTCTTGGAGCAGAAAAGAGAACCAAATACAAACTCAACTAACATTTCGCTCCTGAATAGTAACGCATGCGCATACTAACTGTTGACGTACACATAGACGGACTGGTGAGGTTTGAAACATTTGGGGAGACTAAGGGAGTGTTCACACTTGGTGCATGGGTACAACGCCCGAGTGCGGTACTTGTTGGACACTAATGTGAACACACGCTTTTATCAAGTATCCAAGTCCGAATTAATGCGTGTGGTCGGTGCCCGAGGACAAGGTCGAGACCTTATACATTGGCAGTAAAAAAGGATTTGGTCACCTGCTGGGTGTACACCGTTTTTGTTTGTTCTGGGATAGTCTACTGCTATCTACTCGCTGCTAAGCTCGCGTTTCAAAATGGCGTCTCACAGGGCAAAAAGGAGTAAATAATGTACACAGTTTACATTTTTGGTATACTCAAGGTGTGAACAAAACACCTTTTTTTTTTCACTACCCAGGCACTAGTTCTCAGGCACCAAGTGTGGACATTCCCTAAATTTCCATCAGCAGAAATTGATTGGCACGGTCAAACTGTGGGACAAATTTGCTCCTGTTCAGTTTTACGGTTACCTGGAAAATGAACTTT